CAGGGGTCTGGCTGTGCAATGGTGGCTCCAGGGGCTGCCTTTGGGACCAAGGCCACTAACAAATAACATCTCAGGAACAAACAAACGTTCTGATCTGCATTCACATACTCTGATCAGATGCTTAAGGGACACAGAGAAACCCCAGCCTGTTTATGACACTGCATTACCAGTTCTAGTCCTTTTTGGTTTGGCTTTTTTTTTTTTTTTTCCTTTTAAAGGCTCAGGAGGACTCAGGAGGACATGAAACAATATTCTACATCTTAGATGAGAGCTGCTGCTGCAGCCCTGCTTGTTCCCCAGTGCCCAGGCAGCTCTCAGAACAGCCATCAGCTTTGCTCATGCCTGAAGTGCTCACAGACTCAGCAAGACTTGTTTACAGAGATGAAAGGAGGTTTTTGAGGAGTCAGTCTATGCCTAAAGCCACCACCACAGGAGAACTCACTACAATCCCTCTTGTAGACACTGCAGCTCTTCCCAAGAGGACAAGAGGGAAGGTGGAATGGGTTTGGCTGTCACACAAGCCTCGAGAATGGCACATTACCTATTCACTCTAAAGTCCATGTGATCTAAGTCACCACGACTGATCCTTCGGCCGCTCCATTCGCAGCGATTGTTCCCGTGGTTGGGTCGCTCAGCCACTGGATGTCACTGTTAGTCTGAGCACATAAACGCAAACGGCATTTGTTTGGCATTAGAAAATGTTTAGAGACATGAAATGATGTCTTTAAACATCATCAGGATGAAACCCAGTGCACTGCAGAGGGATCATCTCTTTAGATGCTGAAAGCATTTGCTCAGGTCTCACACTAGTGACAAGTTGATAGTGTAAGAAGTGCCTGATTTCATAAGGGTTCTTTTCTCTCTGTTGGTGACTCATTTATGAAGCTGATAGCCACTTGTGTGTTCTCGGTTCCACTCGTCTCCTGGCAGTCCGCTCGTGTCCTGAGCCGTGCGGTGATTCCCAGCAGAAGCGGCGCGCAGAGCCCGGTCCTGCCCGGCGCTCCCGGGCCAGCCCAGCCGCCCTTCCCGGGATGCAGAGCCCGGCTCCTGCCCGGCGCTGCCTGGCCAGCCCTGGCCGCGCTTCCCGGGATGCAGAGCCCGTCCTGGCCCGGCTCCTGCCCGGCGCTCCCGGGCCAGCCTGGCCGCCCTTCCCGGGATGCAGAGCCCGTCCTGGCCCGGCTCCTGCCCGGCGCTCCCGGGCCAGCCTGGCCGCGCTTCCCGGGATGCAGAGCCCGTCCTGGCCCGGCTCCTGCCCGACTCCTGCCCGACGCTCCCGGGCCAGCCTGGCCGCGCTTCCCGGGATGCAGAGCCCGTCCTGGCCCGGCTCCTGCCCGGCGCTCCCGGGCCAACCCCGGCCGCGCTTCCCGGGATGCAGAGCCCGTCCTGGCCCGGCTCCCTGTCTCCCTCACATGGACAGCCCGGCAAAGCGTTCCGGAGTCAGCTGCCTCCAGCACAGACAGACACCTTGAGAGCTTCATTTCCAAGCCTGGTTCTCTCTGTTTAAACTGTCCAGAGTCCCAGTGACACAAAACATTCAAAACATGAGCTGTCATGATACCCTGGTGAGTTAGGAGAGGAGAAAGGGAAACTTTTACTATTTTTCTCCTAAAATCTTCAAGTATCAATCAATGAAGCACCAAGTTAAGATAATCTCATGCTATTCTTTGTAGGGTTAAAGCCAGAAGAGCCATTTCTCTAAAGGGTTAGAAAAGATGCTCTGGCCAAGTGACTGTAGAGTGTGGGCACAACCTGCCAGAACGAGCATTGGGGAACAAGTACAAGGTGATGGAGAAGGCAGAGAGTGTACAATGAACAAGGAAAATCCAGAAAATAAGAGTAATCAAACAACACTGATAATAAACAATCCAACTCTACGCTCAGTGCTCCTTGTGCTGCAGGAGAGCCTCAGCACCCAGAAACCCCTGGAGCAGCCCCGAGCAGTCGGTGCCACCTCTGCTGAGCCCGTCGTGCTCAGGATCGTGGTGACAATGCCACGGCTGGCTGCACCTGGCAGTCGCTGACAGGGAACAAGAACGGGCCTCCTTCCAAGAGAAGTACTTGAAGAAAAGCCATTTGAGCAATTTCACAAAAAAGGATGACTGATTTGTTTTACAATTATTTTAAACAATTATTTAAAATAATGACATTGCTCTGAACCAATACTGTAATTTTAGCACAGATATAATCACTGTAAATGACATTAAGAGCTTGTCTACAGACAAATTGCATTGCTCTGGTTATAATGGGATTGTTGAAGCTCAGCAAATCCTCAAATCCAGGTATGGCTGAGATCACATAAAAGGAAGAGAAAGAAGTATACCAAACCCCTCAACCTTTTGGGGCTTATATTGATATGGCCTTTTCAGTCAAAAGAACTCCTAACTAACCAAAAGGATTGAACTGGAACAGAAGCAAGTGATACACCATCCTGAAACATGGAACTGTGATAGTAGCAATGCTGAAATTTTCATGCATTTAAACTGGAAAAGATCTAGAAGTCCTGGCTACCGAAGGTAATGGTGAAATTCCCCCTCACTTAAGTGGGAACAGCAGAGTTCAGAGCAGTAACTACCTGTACCAGGCTCTGCCTCCAAAGCTGAAAACTAGAAGTGAAAAGTGACCTAAATATTCAAAAATTACTTAGTGACTGTTAGTGAGTCTATTTTTGAGTGGGTAACTGCAGACTCCTCAAAGAAACTTGATCACCAGAGATGAAGCTTTAGCACGGCAGCACCTTTTAATGGATTTCAGTTTGAGGCACATGGAACCACTAATCACTTCAGTGAAAAACTGGGTCAGAGTTAGCCCCATCTTCCCCAAAGTGCTGCAAAAGTACATTTAAGTGTGTGTATATACATATGTATATATATCCAATTTTGTATTCTGCTTAGAAGAGATGGCAAAGTACAGAGCTGAAATCCTTTTGGATGATATTCACTAAAGGACAGCAATAAAAACACCATCCATGGTGTTTTTTGCAAAGTCCTTTTTTGCAAAGTCCTCTTTCAGCCCTGTTGTCAATAGATAATAAAATCTGTATTTATTAGTGAGTCCAAAACCCCTCTACAATTCCTAAAGCACCAGGCAGAGACAGTGATATTTTGTAATTAGCAGGTGAAACATGAAGTAAGCAAATGCACTGACATGTTATTTACGTCTGCACAAATCTGTAAATAAGAAGTAAATAAGAAGACTGGGATAAATAAAGGCGTATTATTTTCCACTGATACTTCCAAAGTGCTTCATTGAGTGTTACCATGGGTTCATATTTTTGGCTTAAGGGCAGCTAGGGCAGCCCCTTGGTCAGCGTGGCCCGGCGGGCAGCGCTGGCCGTGCAGCCCTGGGAGCACGAGCTGTGCTCTCGTGCTGCTGAAGCAGCAGCCTGTTAGGGCTCCATTTTCAGATGTTGTTCATCACTAATGCCTAAAGGTGACACGCTCACTAAACAGGCCTGCTGCAAACAACACCAGATAAGACACAAAAGACATATTGGATTACCCAGTCCACGTCTCCAAATGCAACAGAAATGAATGCCAAACGCTGTGGGGTTTGTCACTTGCAGCATGCAGCAGCCTTTCCATTATGCATTGCCTGATCCTTTGCCAGATTTCTTCAGGAAAACCAAGGGCTAGGATGAATGGGAAGAGCTTGTCTGGAGGTCACTCTGCGGGAGCTGGGAGGGAGGAGGCTGCTGTTCCATTCCCCACTTGCCCTAATGCCCTATCTGACTCTTCCTTTCTTGTTCTACCCAGCTGTCAGATAGTGAAGCTTCCTGCCCATGCCAGTCTTACAGGTAACAATGATATCACTGTCACTATATTTATTAACTAATCTTAATGCTATAAGTAAATCCAGGACCCCAGAAATGGATTGGTATTTCCCAGATGATAAGAACCATTAAAATTATGAGGATTGTTGCCATTCCAGGACTGCTGCAGAAATAATTTGGTGCCAAGAAGGCATTCTGCAGTGGAGGAGAGCTGTTACAAATAACTGCTGTTACAAATAATAGCATCCTAATTCCCAGTGCAAATATGTTGGTAACAGCTCTACAGACAGTTGGGCTGGGGGAACACTGAAGCAAACCCAACTGGATGAGTTTAATTTCCTTTTGGTTTGGAATTACTCTTTACAGTGCCACTACACAAGTCCACGTGTTGGCTTTGAGCTGCCAGCTCCTCAGGGCAAGGTTTAAATTAAGTACGCTTCTGCTTTTCTCTTTCTTTCTTTTTTTTTTTTTTTTTTTTTTTTTTTTTTTTTTAATCAGGAAACTATTTATATTCACTTCAAGCTTTGTAATCTGCTCCAACCTACTGTTCCAAAATAACAAACAAAAGAATATCCAAAGCTAAATGTTGACTCTTCATCCCTTTTCCCAGCCTCCTATTTAATCAGCCTCGTGGCATATTGGAAAACAGAGCATTTAGTTCCAGTTCATTATTATGGGGGTAAAAAAAATCTTACAGTCAGGCTTAAAGAATTCAAATACCTGAAGCCATCTCCTAATCTGCACAGCACATGGGTGTAAAATAGACAGGCAATTTTTGTTTCCTTGGGGCAACACTGTTCACGGGTCTGGCAGGGGCTCTCTGTGTTTCATCAGCTCTTTCTGAGCACACTGCCAGGCACGGCCATCAGGCAGCGGGCGTGAGGCTCAAGGGGGGCAGCAGAGGGACTGGAGCAAGGAAAGCTGAAATTAGAAATACACTGAGGTTAACACCTACTGTACACCGAAATTAGCATGAATCTAGCAGTGCTGTAGTGAAAGCTACCTGCAATCAAAGCAAAGAGTTTAACCCTTCATGTGTCTTGCAAAATCCTTGCTATTGCCCATCCAAGGGCCTGCCCACTGCACAATTTGGGATCACCAGGAGAGAGAGAGGTTATTTGAACCGGGAGAAGACTCTCATCCTCTTGTGGTAAAAATCCCCACAAAACTATGTGGTGTCATGTACCTGATCCCATGACCCCTAGGATGGCAGCTGACTTGATGACAGCTCAATTAAAGACAGTCATTCCAACTGTCTGGTCCTTCAGCAGGTTCTCAACTGGTGCTGAAGAATGTGAGGTCACTGATAAACAAGCCCCATATTACATTAATGACAAAGTGATAATATCTTTGAAGAGAATATAATTTGGGTTTCGTTCTTTCACAAGTTGTTCTCCAACATCCTGAAAAAAACCCCAAATGTAATACTGTAAAGCCTGATGATGCTGGTAAAAACACCAATAGAAATTGAAGAATTAATTAAAATGGAAAAACATTATCTGGGGAAGGCCCTACCTAGAATTTCAGTTTTGAAATATTTGGAGCTGACCACTGATTTCTCTGTCTTTTCCCTCTGACTGGGCACCACCAGGCCCCGCTCAAGGCAGAGCCGGTGCACACCGTGGGGCTCCTCGGTGGGCAGGGGACGGCGCGCAGGGTCAGGCGGGGATCGCCGTGCCTGCTAAAGGCCACCTGTCCCGCCACTGATAACCAAAACCTTGGTCTCACACAGCCTGTTCTCCCTCCCAGTTTTGCTCTCCAGTTCCCTTGAGAAGCTCTCCCTCCCTCCCTCCCGAAGGGCCGGTGTGCCGAGGAGGGGCAGAGGGGCACCGGGGCGGGCAGGGGCGCTCTGGGCCCGGGTGGCTGAGGAGCCTCAAGCTGCCTCCCCCTGCAGCCCCGTGTGCAGGGCAGCTACACAAGGAGAGCCTGATTTAAAACACAGACACGTAAGCACGGCAGAAACCCCACCTCCGTGGGACGGCCTGCGAGGGATCCAACGGGCAGAAATGCCACGGACACACTCCTCCCAGCGGAATTGTGACTATCGCAGCGGCGGCGGACAGAGGGGGAGGCGGGCGGATGATGCAAGGCGCTCGGCATCGCGCCGGGCATGGCCGGAGCGCAGCGCTCGGGGAGCGGCGCCGGGAGCCGCGGCACAGCGGGGCTCCGTCGGCACCGGCACCGCGGGGCTCCGTCGGCACCGGCACCGCGGGGGCTCTGCCGGGACCGGCACCGGCACCGCAGAGCCCGCGGGGCCGGGCAGCATCGGCATCTGCTGCTGCCCGGCCTCCCACCCTACCCACACCGTTTAGCCAGCAGCTGTGAGATTTACTCCACCACCACCGGCTCCTAGTCACTTCTCTTCAGAGCTCATTACAAAGAGTAATTAAATGGTCGAAACGTCCCCAGCCTTAACCCTATTTAGTAGATAAAGTGGATAATTGAGCACCGTTAGCTCCGTTTTGCCATGGAAACTGGTGAGAGGGGCTAACACAAGGTCACAGGGCCACTCCGAGTCAGCTCAGGATCACGGTACATCAGTTACTGTCCCCTTCATCCAAAAATGCTGGGATATTTCATTGGCTTTAAGGAGTTATGGATCAAAACTGCTATTCCTGCCTCATCACTGAGAAGCCTAACACAGAGAAGTATTATATGATTTAACAAATAGAGTATTTGAGAACTTGGAACAAGCACTGGTATTTTGTATTCCATCTGCCAAAGCAGACGTCACCCTCTCTTTTAAACACTCTGCTTGACGTTGCTGACTGTCTCATGTGCATATGCTTGTACTGACATACAGCAAATCAGTGAGATGTGACCAATCTGATACCTGGCCAGTGAGTTTTAAACGTCACTATTAGCAGCTGCCCAGGCAGAACCAGCAGCCCCTGCCATGGTTCTGTGTTTGTCACGAGTGCCACTGCAGCGACAGCTCTGAGGTGCTGGCCAGGCCTCTCCCCTGGGAGCACCTTGCCCGCGCTGACCGTGAGTCACGGGGCTGTCAACCACTGCATCCTGCAGGCTATAAATATCTCCATTCCCATAAACTATTATCTCACTTTCAGACAGTCCATTTGCCTGATTCTGAAATGTTTATCTTGCCCTAACTGCCAGCCTAAAGGTGGAATGCTATTTTCAGCCCATGAGGAGCTTAAAGAGAGATAAATTTTAAAATACTCCCCTTACCTTTATTTTTATAATACCCTAGTACCTATGCAAGATGCTACAAATGGAAGACCTCTATGTATTCACAACATATGAATAAAACTGACAAATTTTCTCTACTTACATGTCTCAATATGGTTTCTAGGGAGTGGAAAAGACTTCAAAAATTTTTGGCTTTGCTCCTATGGCAGACCAGTAAAGCTTGAGAAGAGGCCACGCGCACTGCCTGCAGAGAGCCACTAGTGTGGACAAACAGCAACATTCAAACAACAACCTCACTGGGCCATTCCATCCCCAAATCCTGATTGTCTTTCAAAGCTTTCTCAGAAACTCCATTATTATGCCCACATAAGCACAATGAACTTTGAATTTTATACTTTCATTTCAAGCTATGGAAAATTTGTGACAGATGTAAAGAGTGGGAAAAGCAGACCCATCAAATAACGTGTAAATAATGAAGAGCATCTTGCATAATCCACTGAGGTGAGAAACGTTTAAAGGGCAATTGCCTTCACTGAATGTTGAATCAGTGTGAAAAGCAGAATTTGAAAACTGTCCTTATCTCTAAAATTCTTGATGAGAACTAAGTGGAGCATTCTTGCCAAGTAATTCAGGTATAATCAGGGGTGTTCCACCTGTGCCACAATCCCAGTGGCAGCCACGGGCTAACATCCCCTAAATTGGATCAGTACTCCAATGCAGTTTGAAAGTTAAATGACCTGGGTAGCTGCTCTCTTGTGTGCACAGACTCACTGCTCACAGCACAGGACAGCTGTGCTCTGAGCCATGGAGAAAGTGCCAGAAAATAATAACACAGATATCCAAAAGATTCAGACAGCTTTGCTGCTTAAAAACCACCCCAAAACCAACCAACCCAAACCACTCAAAGCAAAGTCCCGAGAAGCCCAAGGTTTCTAGAGGAATGGAAGGAGCAGGCGCTGCCGTAGGGCCGGGCTGGTGGTGTGGCGATGCTCCCCGTCCCTGTCACACTCGCTTGGCTCCAGACCAGTGTCACTGTTAATTGGATGCTGAGTGGTGGATGTGGCCACCTGGCACCCTGTCTGGCTCCGAGCTCACGATCCCAGTGGGGAACAGGCCACCTGGCTGCTGGGGGGGCTGCAGCCCCTGCCGAGCCCATCGCTGCCCCTCAGGCGCTCCTTGATGGTGAATACCAACAGCAGCTTCTCTCTTCCGCTGTGCTCACCTCTCCCACCACAGCCGGTGTGCTCACAGCCAACACCCAACTCATGACACTCCTCTCTTTCCTTCCCTCTGTCTGCCACGATGGGTAAACAGAATCCTGCCTTAATTGATAAATGGGAATAAAATTAGCTACTTGCCCTCTCTCCAATTTCTTTGAATTATTCCAAGTTCCCTCCCCCCACTCTATCCTGTGTTGCTTCTCAACACTCCAGATTAAAATGTGTATTAGCTGTTGAGCTGCACAACAATTTTTATAATGGCACAGTTTGTTGAGTATTTTTCTAATTAGTAAAAATACCGATAAATTAAGAATAACATCACAACAATGAACTGAACAAAAATGCAGTGAAATCAGACTCATGCCTGAAGGCAAGATTCTCCCCTTGCTTTGCACCCTTTTCTATTATTAGCACTAGCAAAATCATAGTGAGAAAGGACACAATTTTGATTTAATTTTTTTTACATTCATTTTTCATATATGTAAATTACTCCAGAAGAAACAAGACAATTGAAAATTGTCTTGAACAAAGTGCACAAAATGAAATTGTCTTGAATGAAAGAACAAAGTGCACAAAAATAAATCAGTACTAATGTAGAGTGCTGTTTGTGTCACTCAGTAAAACAACCCAAATTCCATGAAAATTAATGTTACTACAGGATCTTAAAGGACTTGCTACAAGTCCTCACATTTTCTTCTCCACTTCCAACGTACCACAAGGAGGTTCTACAGTGGTTTCAAGCTGGTCTGGGGCTACAGTAAGTAGCTAATGTCAAGCTCTTACATCCATTACAAATGATCTGAAAAGAAAGTACTTCACTAATCAAATCTTTGCACAGAAATGTGTCCACTGGCTGGAGCCAGCTGTATTCATTGGTGTTACCTCCTTCTTTAAACAAAGATTCATTTGCACCTTGAAGGACCTGCTCCAAGTGAATTCAGGGGGTGCTTTCCATAAGCTTATAGAAGGTGGAGGAAAGCATTTTAGATATTGAGGCAAGCATGAATGTTAAACTAATCAAGTTTCTGTCTTCACATTATTTTTAGCCTTTTTTCAGCTGGACAACTGATTTTCCTGCATCCATGCTGGAGAAGATTTCAGGAAAGTTACTGCTTTTTAGGGAGCCCTTACCAGCTTGAGCATCATCTCTGACCACCCCTGAGCAGCCTTCACTGCCCTTTACCTGGTGAGCCCCTACCAATCAAATCACTGACAATCTTCACCCAAATTTATGGGTGAGTCAGGAACACACGTGACAAACCACAGCCACCACCAGGCACTGAAGGAACCTCCCTGTCCTCCAGAAGCCTCTTCCCACAGAGCAGCATCACTCCCCTCTGCAGTCACCACTGCAGGTGTCCCTCAGGTCACTCCAGGGCTCCCTTGGGACACGGGAACAAAAGGCATTGCCGTGCACCTGGCTCTTAGTGCACCTGCTGACCTCCCTGCATTTCCAGCACCTTCCATGCACCTTGGTACCTGCTCCTGGGGACAGTGGCCTGCCACTGCTGGACTACAGAGCCCTCACTCTTCAAGGCTGACACCAGAAAGGTTCCTGCTTGCTTATTTGACCCCACTTGTCCATTCTGGCTTCACAGACATGCTCAGCTCCACTTTGCTCCCCCTTATGTCTCAGAGCTCACATAAACACTGAACAGCTCATATTAAAAAAAGAAAAAATTGAGTCATTTTAGTTGATTTTCAGTTTCAGGTCGAGCTACAAGAGGCTCCCTTGTGCTCCCTCTGTATCCGAGCTTGAATTACCAAGTTATTAGGTAACAGCTCACTGGCACTGGCTCCTGCCCACACATTCAGCGGGCTCTGCTCTCTCTGAGCTCAGTGCTTTCCATCTTCTGACTGCTGATGCATCCCCCCAGCAAGGACTCACATTATTTTTTAATATTCAGGGGGTAATGGGCTGCTGAACATGTATGACTGCCATTTCCAAGTGTGACATTTAGCACTGCTGGTGTTTTACTCTCCCCATCTTAGGTGTCAGTAGATTACTTGTTGCTGTTTGCTAACAGGCTTTG